GAATAAGAATTGGTGGAGAAATCGTAAACACCATAAGATTTGCAGATGATACAGTAATTATGGCTGAAAGTATAGAAGAACTACAAACTTTACTAGATGCAATAAAAAGAGAATGCATTCAAATGGGACTTGTCATCAACACAGATAAGACCAAATTTATGATATTATTAAGGAGTCCAATAAATAATGAACAACTAACCCTTGGCGGCCAGAAAATAGAGAGAGGGATAAAATATAAATATCTGGGAGCTTACATCAAAGCAGAATTAGATCCAGACCAAGAGATCAGGGTATACCTATACCCTGATCTGTGATGAGACTGAGGTTTGTTGAATGATACGTTTGGTCCCAACTATTGTACGGGGTAGAAACATGGACGGTAAGAACGCAAATAGTTAAGAAGCTTAAAGCCTTTAAACTTTGGATATACCGGAGAATGTTGAGAATTCCATGGACTGCCAGGTCACCAAGTGCTGAGAAGGATGGGCCGAGACAAAAAATTGTTGAGAACAATAAAAGTACGCAAGACTGCGTACCTTGGAGACATACTGAGGAATAATAAATATAGTCTTCTGCAGGTCATCATGCAGGGTAGAGTTGATGGTAAAAAGGGAATAGGTAGAAACAGGAAGTCATGGCTGCGAAATATTCGAGACTGGACAAACATGACTGTAGACGAATTATTCCACATTGCAAAAGACAGAGAAACTTTTAGAAATGTGGTCACCAACCTCCGTTGGGGACGGCATAGAAAGAAGAAGAAGTGCTTGTGTACACAGTAGAAACGTAGACATATGAAGTAACAAACAAGTTACCAATGAAGAAGTACTATGAAGGGTGAACACAATAGCTGATTTGGTCAACATCGTGAAAGGCCGTAAGCTTTACTTGGACATATAATAAGAAATGCAGATATGAGGTACTCTCATGCATTGTGCAAGGTAAAATTGAAGGTAACAGGGGCTCAGGATGAAGAGGCATATTATTGCCTGCTAACCTGAGAGCATGATATAGAAATACCTCAACACAGCTATTTCACATAGCAACCAACAAAGTCATCATAGCCAGAATGATCGCCAACGTTCGGATTGGACAGGCACCCTAAGAAGGAGAAGAAGAATTTCATGACGATCACCTGAGTAATTTACTATAAAGACATTAATTCAAAGCGATACAGAGTACAGAAGCTTCGTTAAAAAACTTTTTTTTGGGAACATCGTAGCACCGTGTTTGTGTTTTTATATAAAGACTCTGAATATTTAGCAAGCTAAAAACTAATTTGAAATAAACAATATACTTAAAGGAAACAGTACCATACATTTGTATCTATTTATTTATATTGACGTTACAGAGTCAAAATTTTTCCAGGAAATTTAGTTTTCACTGAAAACTTAAGTAATGGTAATATGATAAAGCACATTAACATCAAAAATGGATTTATATTGTATTTGTTTTCGAGCCATTAAAGTAAAATGTTTTGTTTTGCCTATTTGTTTATCTTATCATTCTTCAAAAAGGCTTTACATGTTGGCAAATGTAAGCAACGTACAGTATGAGATATGCGTAATATTAACATTACTGTAAATATGAACAGTCTACTATAAAATAAGCTGGAAAATTTAACACTAAAATATATTATATAAAATTAACAATAGTCTCAGTACACAAAACAAATCTGCTACAAACTGATCATAAAAATAATAATAAAATAAAAGATTTTAAAATTAACTTTCCAGTTATGTAAAAAAAAGTTCCGCTTTCTATTCAAAATTATTATCAAGTACCGTTTAACAAAGATTAGATGTAAAGAATAAATTGACAATTATATACTAAACTCGTTTACAAAATTAACGCACCACTCATATTTTTCTCAATAATCTTTATTTATTTAGATTCCAATAATGACTGAATATACAGGGTAATGAATTTGAAAAATCAAAGTTACTAATAATATAAGAGAAACGGTAAATCTGGCAACGTTGCATATATCAAATATGGAATGTCCGTATCCCAAAATATTTGGTCCTCAAATTTTGTAAAATTTTGAGTAGCAATTTACGAGATAATAAGGAATACTGTCAAGTTTGAGAAGTGTTTCAGACATTACTGAAATTAAATAGAAACTAGTGATTATAGATTGGCACAATAAATTAGTAATTAAACTTTGATGGTATACAAGGCAACTATCGAACACAGTAATTAATTAAATCTTGCCCAAGTACTTTCGATCAATAGATCATCTTCAGGGGCATCTGAAATAAGCCAAGAAACGTTTTTTTATAAAAAGGAAAATTAATTCACTTGCATAAAAACTCCAAGTTTATGGTTGAAAAAAGTTTGTATGTGATAAACGTTTTTAGACTTACTTCGTCAGTTGTGGCCTATCCGACATGAGCAGAATGTCATACATGTAAATTTGGACATAACAATACAATACACAAAGACAAACAAACACTTTAAAAATTTTAAAAAGGAGAAGCTACATGTTATATAGAAGCCGGAGACAGAATGGGCTCCCGGTCTGGCGGAAATATTGAGATGACATATGACAAATGACAGCTTGTAAAGGGCAGTTATGTGATCTGCACCTTTCAAAATTCTATGAAACTAAGTATTGACCAAAGGTCCAACTGACACCACTATAGGAAATCAACTGATGAAATATAAAATTATATAGTATATTTTTTATGTAGATTGAATAATCCAAATCTCACACTCAAACCTGTTTATAATAATTAGGATGTTAGTTTGAGAGCAATTGAAGTTGACATAAAGTATGAATGTAAGAAAAGACTAAACAATATATTAGACAGTGGATGGTTGACTACAATAAAATGGTCCACCAAGCGCTATCAGTACTGTAAAAAAGGAAAAATCTGAATATACAGTTAAATTACTAAAAGCTAAAATCAAAATTGAAAGCAAAATATATAAATGGGTTATAATCCAAGTAGTTCAGTTGAATCCACTGTCAATGGAAAAAATTAATATTGAAATGCTCAGTGCATGAAGTCTAAACAGTCCAGCTGGGTCCTCTACGAGGTGAAGCTGTAATAAAGTTTTTAAATATAGGATTAAATTTAGTACAATTTAAATTAATTTGAGTATTAAGACAGTGAGAGTTTTCATTGTAATCTCCAAATCTTCCAATAAATCCAACTCAAGATAGTTTTTCTTTCTACTAATGTCATGTAAGATAGATGAACCAGAATTGATGTTAAAATTGTGGTTGCTGGATACTAAGTGTTGACCAAAACTTGAAGAATTTGGTCTTTTTAAATGTTCAGAGACTCTAGTGGATAACTTTCTAATGGTTCTACCAACATAAGAGGCATCACAATCATCACATTTTTATTTGTAAATACCACTTTTATCAATGTAATGTAATGATTAAGAAGGAACCTAAAGTGTTATGTGATTTAAAGGAAATTTTGATGTTATCAATTGTAGAAGTAAAAAGTTTAGATATTTTATTGGAAATGCTACTAATATAAGTGAAGGAGAAATATCTGATGTTATCTGAAGCATTAGGTTGAAAAAACTGTGATGAATATGCAAGCTTTTCTGCAATTTTTAGTTTAGCTCTATTTAGAAGTTTGTATATAATGTTAGGATCATAGCCATTATTGAAAGTAATCTGCTTAAGAGTATTAAGTTCTGTGTTGAAATTATCATCAGAAAGAGGAAATTTAAGTAACCGATGAATGTAACTGTCGAAAGCAGCCATTTTATGTTGAGTTGGGTGATTAGACGTTCCATGTATAACGTGATCTGTTTGGGTGGGTTTTCTATAAATGTTGTACTCTAAAGAATCTTTATTACGGGAAATAGTCATATCCAAGAAGTTCAACTTATTGTCAGATTCTGGTTCCAGAATAAAAGAGATGTTAGGATGGAGGTTCGAAGGTTCCAAGATCGAAAGTACTTGGGCAAGATTTAATTAATTACTGTGTTCGATTGTATACCATTAAAGCCTTGTATACCATTAAAGTTTAATTATTCGAACATTCAACAGTATATTGACATTAGTAATTGTAGTTTTCATTATGTATGTATATAAAGGTAAAAAGTGGTTAACCACACAATAAAAGATACACTAATTTTGGTTTTTGTATTTTAAATCGTGACTCTATTTTTTATGATTTTTTTATGAATATATTGTACCTATGTAGATAACAATTCGATGAAAAACTCATAAGGATTTTAAAGAGATATGTTTGAATGAAACCTATTTAAAAATGACTGCAAACAAGGGGAATGATTGAAGAAATTCATTAAGCTGAATTAAGCTCAAAACAGTGTAAAGGCATAACAATAAAGTTCGTTATTAGCCTTTGTAAGTTTAATAACGAGGATATGGTTAGATGTTGATGATTGTTCCAATTTAATAAGATATTTTAATAATGCATTTATAGTAATCAAATGAAATCGAATCAAATCAAAGCTCCCATTAGAATGATTGGGAAGAAAAAAACTGTTCTTTACGGATATAAGAACTGAAAAAAGTTTGACTTTTCGTAGAACAATGTTAATTTAAATATCGAGTTATTACTACGTTAAGAAGATAAGTTTGGGTGGTAAAATGATCGCGAAGAAAGATAGCTTTAGCAAAGAAATACGGATATAACTGAATAAGACAGATTGTGTAGTATTCTCAATATGGTATTCGCAAGCTCTTATTATTTTTTTGACAAGGTTAATTTAAAATTTAATGGCATTTAATCAATTAAACTTATTTTTCAACATTGTAGTTACGTGAAAGTGTCTCATAGATATTGTCATTATCCTAAAGCCTCAAACTATTAACTGCTAGAAGATTTTTTGGCAAACGATAAATTTTGTTTAGTTTTAAAAAATTCTGAAAACGGTTTTTAAGCTTAAAGTTAATACACATTTGTGATTTCTTCTCAAAAATATAATAAATATTATGTAATAAGTATTTAAAGTAGTGCAAAACTTTTACATTATTACGTAATTCCCAATATAAATAAAAGTATTACCAATGGATTAACCATAACCCAATAAAAGCTTCTAACTGACATCCGCCTTTGTTGAGGAGGCGGAAAGTTGATGGGCAAGTTCATCAACGAGAACCGTCTGTTCACAGCTTCTTCCGGCATTTTGATAATATCTCTGAAAAACAACAACACAAACTCAAAATATCACAAAGTTTTTCAAATCATTGTCACTTAAAAGCTGTCAAAGTGGCCATGTTGGAAACTACGAAGAAACACAATGAGTCTCTACCGACTGGCACGATAACACAAAATCCGTGTTGATAACGAGCGTTTTCAGAAACGGCGAATTTCATGGTAAGTTAGCACCAGCCTTGAGGAGGCACAAACTGCATATTATCATAACATTATTAGCTATTACGGATCAATTGTGTTCGGAAAACTATCAAAGATCAAGATTTTAGTTTACACTGAGTGAAGTTGTGAGTATACGTTTCTTTATATTTAGCACTGAATACATTATATAAAGCAATAAATAAAATTACAAAAAGCAGTAAATGAAATTATATATAATTAAGGTATGATTACTAATCATATAAATCTTAATTCTAATAGCTAAATTAAAAATAATTGGAAATTCCGAATATTGCTGCTGTTTTAAATTAAATTTTTTCACCGTACGCGTTAAAATACCTATTTTTGGCTGTTATCGAAGTTGTATAAAATCTCAACCTTAGTCAGGTATATGCTTTTGTGGCTAAAAAACTTACAGCCAAATTATATTCATTGCACTTAAACCACTCTAGCCTAATAGAGGAAAGAATATTAACTTTATTTAGAATGTTGTATGAAATAAATAAACCAAATGGGATTTAATCGTAAAAAAGGCAACAATTTTCAATCGAAAGTAGCCCAGGCTGTGGGGGAAAAGTACTCTCTAATCCAGAAATTTATGTAATGGGACCTAGGTTATAAAGGGCAACCTCAGGAGCAATACCCCAGTTCATTCAATAAAAAATTTTTGGCCATTGTTTACTTATGAGCATTTATAGGTGCAAAATACTTATTTTTTGAGTTTTTTTCAGTTTTTGCCTAAAGTAAGTATTGTAATGGGTAATTTCTGTATATATTATGAAAGTACTCTAAAAGACCTTCAATTTGAGCTGGAATGCGTTCAATTTAATTTATTTGTTATTGCAAAAATGACAAATGAAGGTCAAAATAAAAAACGTAACATTTATTGCAAAATTGCTTTTTTATTTATTTCAAATGTATAACATTCAAGCCTATAAAATTACAAATCGGATAAGCCGTAGTAGGCTTAGATCACTTAATTCGTTGCTGAGATACGTTAATTAGTTTATCCCATGACCTTCAACTTTAAGTGCTCATAGGATTGCTAAAAAAATGGTAGAGGGCTAATTCTTATTTCATTCCCTTCCTAAACCCGTAAATTTTCATAATCTACTGGAAAATAATGAATACATTTTTTAACCCGATAAAAACAATTATTAAGTTGTAAAATTGCAGTTATAAAAATTAAGAGCTGCAGCTCCCCCTATGTACCCTACAAATTTTTAATTTGCTGATTATTGTAGCTGGCTTCGAGACAACGATTAAAAAAAAGAGTTTTCTACGACCAATAAGAGCCGAGTTAGCATATTTTTTTTTAAATCATAGAGGCTTTATTAATAACAATTAAGAAACGAATCTGGCGTCATTTACTACTTAAAAACCTATATTTTAAAGAATTTGTATGCTCCTTAAATTAAAATCATTATTTATTGTTAAAAACGACGAATAACGTTTACCTTTTTTCAATGTAGCACCGAAACCGCATGTGGCAAACATTGCGGATGCCGTAAGCACGGCCTAAAATGTATGAGAATGTGCAAAAATTGTAATGGAGAGAGTTGCGAAAATTGTCATACTGCTGAATATGAACTAGATGACGCAGAAAAAGAATGTGAGAGTGAGATGGATGTTTTGGATGAATTGTTATATGATTCTGAGGAATAAATTACAATTATTTTACTGTTTATATCTTTTTTTTACTAATTTATTTCTTCCATCAGAGTAATTTGCAATTTAAGATATACGTATATATGATATTTATTTTAATTTATTAAACCAATTATTTAATTTCTCATACAATTGTACTAAAATCTAGTATGACCAAAAGTTTTTAAAATCAGTTTGTTATGAGTTTTTTTGGAAATAAGATTATTTTTAAATAGAAATTTCAATAATTTGAACTTTATTTTAACATAACTTTTTACTAATAACAGATTACACAGCGAGGCAGAGTAAATAATAAAAAAAAAAGATAAATACTGAAATAATGGTAGTTTATATTTTAGAATATTAATTTTTTTTAGAAATGGGGATGTGTCATGGGTATGTTCTCAATAATAATTTGGTACTAAATTACGTTTAATAGTATTGTAAAAGTAAAAGAATTGCAAAAAAATTATATATTAAAAAAAATTAGGGGGTTGGGGGTGGTTTTTTAAGGGTGAAAGTATTCCAGATATTATTATTTCGAAAAGATACACCTGATTAAAAAAAATAAAGAAATAGGTTCATTTTTCACCGAGATATTGCAAATTTTTCCGAGCGTCGCCAAATTAGAAATTTGTAGTGTACATAGGGGGCGCTGCAGCTCTAAATGTTTATAGCTGCAATTTTACAACTTCATAAATAATTGTTTTTACCGGGTTAACCATTTTTCAACAACAATGTTGGTTCATTAAAGATATCAAACAAAATGGAATGAAAATAATGATGTTTCTACTGGAACACCTCAGGAGAATAATAGAGCCGAAAGTGACATTAAACTCTGAGGAAAATATAAATCTCCAAAGGAAGATAACATGCATTTTAAGTGGTATAAATATATGTATTGTAGGAATAAAATAAAACCCTTATACAACAAGTGTTGACATATGGATCGGAGATATGGACCATTTCCAAGGTAGACGAAGACCTTCTGCTTATATTTGAACGAAGGATCCTGAGAAGAATATTCGATGGTATCTGTGAAAATGGTGTTTGGAGAAGGAGATACGGGAATAGGAAGACTAAACTGAGCAGGACGTCTGGCAAGATAACAGCAGAGAAACCCTCCTAGAAGAATCCTTATGTCACAACCTATAGGAAATAGAAGAAGGGGTAGGCCAAAACTCAGATGGAGGGATGTTGTAGTTGAGGATGGTAGAAAAATAGGCGCAGCAAACTGGCAACAGTTGGCAATGGCTAGAACTGACTGGAGTAATAGACTTGGAAAGGTCGAGGCTCTTTTATAGAGCTGTAGCACCAATGATGATGATGATGAGGAATATAATAAAATATATAATCAAAAAGTACCTGCTCTAGAAAGAGAAAGAAAGAAACAGTGACAACCCAGAAAACTACTATTAAATAGTAACAGTTATGGCTAAATAATTAGGTTAACTCAGCAAGATCGACACAACCGTTGTCATATCGTCTTTGATAGTATCTGCTATAATTGCAGAGGAAGAATCTGAAAGGAATATTTTAAGATGATTGCCTGTAACCCTGGAAAACAATGTATTCTTACAAAATAGCAATCTAGAACGACTAAAATCCTTCATAAGAAAATATTGACATGTCAATTGATGGAAAACCTCATAAGTAGTGCTAAAAATGCATAACGATACATGATAGCAAAAAAAAGCTGATGTAGGTACATATAGTGCATTATATTTCTTCTTCTAGTTCTAGTTCTAGTTCTTTTTTTATTTGGAATTAGCGAGCGAATCAAGTCAGCTGATGAATGAGTAGGACTTAGTATGGTAGCTCGGTGGTGTTCATCCATTCATTCCTATAGGAAAATGTTATGACGCTAGAAATCTGGATCATATACGCGTACAATTTACTAAATTAGTAATAAATTTACCGAAACAGTGATTAAAAATGTCTAAATTCTGTGTATAGAATAGAAAATCTGTATTAGACACGATGAAACAAGAAATACGTGAAGATATGAACATTAGGAAGTATCTAAGAAGTCAGTATGTTGCTAAAGTATATATTACATAAGCCTATACACATCAAAATATTTATCTTTTAACTACTACCTACATAAAATTAATGTAAAAATGCATCTATTGTGCAAAATATTTTATTAGCTTTTTGTTTTGCGTACACCAATGGTTATTTAAAAGAAAACTACTAAGTTGGAATGACTGTAATTAGCTAAAATTAGATTTTAGCGTGTTCAATTCTAAATTCAATTAAATTTTATTTCAATCTAATATATAACTGTATAATTTATATAACTTTTAGATTTAATGTTTGATAAATCGTAAATATATAAGCATTCTTTCTCAAGAAATCAACTAATCAATGTAAAGTTGTTGTGAAGACAAGTGCTAGAAGAAAAAAAGTTACAAAAGCGTAGATATGTATGTATATTTTGTGTTTTCTATAACAAACTTCTTTTAAGCCTACAGCGGGCGGGTAAGACCTGCCAGGCCTCATTTATATGGAAGTACAACATAAACTTGTGATTTTATATTGATAACATTGAAACCCTTTCAGTGGCTTTCACCCCCCAAGTAAAAGCAACACTGGGCTCTAGTTCAAAACTGAAGTAGAAGGTAAGAGGAACATAAATCCAAATTTTCAAGCAATTCCGAAGAGGAAATACGAAAAATTGTTGAAATTATTTTGAAACTAAATATATCTAACTACAACAATGTTAAACTGTTACTGAATGGGCGATAAAATACTTAAATTAGTATGGAAAAGTTAGCACAATAATTCGTTCCATGTCAATGTTACATGACTACCGCGTTATGTGTGTTCGTCTTCATATAGTCAACAATGGCGTAATATTGTTATTACAATCATTAATATGTATTCAATGTATCCACCAACCAATAATTTAGGACATAACAACTCCATATTTAAGATCCACTCAATGGTCTAATGATTTAAGACCAATAATTTTCTTAATGCCTTCTCCTTATAGGTATTAATTTACAAAAATCACATGTTCGCATATAAAAATTTGAACTGTACAACTATTATAATAACCTCTGACAGATTTTAATACTAAAACCAGTTTTATCTTTGAAATGATTTCAGCGAAATTATATAACAGCGTACAGGTATAGTTTACAATCAAAGTCCTTGAAAATATTTGTAGATTAATTGTTTGAAAATAAAAGCTGTATTACCGCACGTAAAAAGTAGACGAAATACACGGAAATATGCAAATTTTGTATTATAAATTTACCATTTGTTTTCGTGTTCTTCGATGGGTAATTTCAAAACATATTTATTTGTTTTAATGCATGATAACATGAAAATGTCTATAATATATCTACATTTTTGAATTACAGACAACATTGCCGGAGAAAAGAATA